CCAGCTGGCTGGGGAATTCTGGGAGTTGAAGTCCACTCATCTTAAAGTGGCCAAGTTTGGACAACACTGCCCTGGTGGATACTTCCATATTAACAGTTCTGGGACAAGTATGGGGGTGGAGGGGAGAATATCTCACATCATGTGTAGCATCTCCATACTAGCAGTGCAATGGCAGCAAGAAGAGATGATGACTCAAATCAGGACACATCAAGTCAGCACATAGGGTAAGAGATTTCAAGAGATTTCACAGAGCAATTCCAATTGGGAATGTTTTCTGTGGGTTGAAGAATGGGGTAATTATTAGCCTAATGTGAAGAGAAGCCTGGAAACATTTAATTGTGAATGCATTTATATATGTATATATTTCATTATTAATAATCTAAGCAAATATTTTTGGTCATTTTCCAAAACAGCAGTGACCTTGCTTTATTGTTTTCTATTGTTTTCTTTGTTTTTATAGTTCACTCGGCCCAACCTACACATATTTCTGATATCCCTAAGCTTATATCCCTGCATTTTGGGGCTAGCATAGGAGTTACTTCAGCAGGAACTCAACTACTCTGTGTAGAAGAGTCCTCAAAGGTACCCCAGGTTCTTGCTATGTGGGCCAGAAAGTGCCTGACTCTTCAAAAATAGATTGCAATAAAGCATACAGAACAAGACAGTGCTAATAATCCATTAGTCTCTCTGAGGAGAAATACATGTACATGGGCTTGTTTATTTCATAAAGATCATAAGCTTCACTTAAAAAAAAAAAATAACCCCCCAAACCACTTGACATTTAAACTTGTAAGTAACTCACAAGTAAATCTGTGAGCCTATTTTCCTGTGTGTGTAAATAAAAAATCTCTGCTGATAAATACAATAAATGAACATTTATTGAATTAAGGATGAAAACATGGATATTAATAAGATTTATATGATCTGCAAGAAGATGGAGAGCTCAGCTCTACCAATGTCCACTAAATTAATGAGGAAGAGCAATGATACTTACATTCTGCAAAGCAAGAGCTGGCATCAATTTTCCAGATAATCTGGCCTTGGTGAGAGCCATTCACCCCACGATTTTTGTAGTCCAAGAAGTTTTCTGATAGGACCTCATCTGTGAGGTAAGCAACCACAAAAAAGATCTAATTATTTCATTGCTAAGGGAAGAACCAAAAGCAAAACCTACTATCTTTTGATTAAAGTGGAATTAGCTTGAATCCCAAGGCAAATGAACTAAACATGCAAAAAAAAAAAATCCTTCATCCATACACACTTCCTTCACCGCAAAGTATTCTAGCAATCATATCATTCCTTTTTAAATTTTTTAATAGTAATTTTATTAAAAATTACAATTGTAAAGATAAAAACTAATACAAACTAAAAAAAATAAAACAAAAAGAAAAAATAGAAAGTGCAGAAAAGAAAAAAATGGAAAAGTGGAAAAGAAAGAAAATATAAGAATATTGTAAAGAAAAAGAAAAGAAATATATAAGAAAATGACTTCTCCCTTCATCGCAACAAGTATAAACAATTTTAGTAACATATCACCTCTTAAAATACAACAAATGATCTCTTCTTCCCATACTCAATCTCTTATCTATAAACAAATTCTTAAAATCTTGTCATTTCATTCCTGATCAGCAAAAGTCCATTAAGGGTTACCAGAGATAACATCATATCTATTTTAACTTTGATCAAATACATCAACTTTATATTCCTTCCTTTTACTTTTAACAATCTTGATCTTCAGTCCCTACAAATGTTCTAGAACTTGATTTCATTTTTTCTTTGTCCCTTCTCACAAATCAAAGCTTTAACAAGCCTCTTTTGTAAATCCAATATAGGAAAATTATCCAGGTTATTTGTATATCCCTTTTAATTATTAAGACATCAGCT